AAAACAGGGAAATTGGCGGAACTGATTACAGTTTTGTATTTTTTTCATCTTATTTGATTTAGCACTAACCAAAATAATTTCAAACAAACTTTCTCGTAAATACCCAACTCGCGTTTGTCATTAGACTGTCAAATATTATATTAATAGTCCGAGAGCTGGCAACAATTTTTGGGTAGGTATTTGAGGCAAGCTGAAAACTTGTCCTATACCTCTCCTATTATACCCCAATACGAAACTGCAGACCTGGCTGGTGAGTAGCGGGGCTAACTCAACCCCTAAATTTTTAAAAATATTATTTTGTAATTTCGAAAAATGTATTTGAGGCAATATGCAATTTTTATATGTTGTAGTTTAATATTAAAAGAATAAAAAAAAATATAAGCCAGATGATTTAGTCGGGATTTTAAAATTGCCAGACGCGTGCAAAAACATTTTGAAAAAAATACAAAAAATGTATTTGAGGCAACTTGAAATTTTAACAGGATATTATTTATTATTAAAAAATAAGATCCTCAAAAAGACAGGTCATTTCTGTGGGTCTTTCTACCTGCCAGGTGATCCAACAACTTATATATAAGTGTGAGTGCGTAGCGCTATAGACAAGCTGTAGCGTGAGGGAGAGCGTATATCGGCAGCTGTCTGCGTCCTTGCTTGCCGCGTTACTATTGGCTCTGACGAGGTCACGTGACATATAATAGCCACGAGGTTTTCAATCGGAATTTTGGAGTAAAAAATATAAAATTTTATGAATTTCTGCTAAAAAACGGTTTATATAAAAATGATTGTGTTGATTTATGTGTGTTAAATGGATATATTTATTGTGTCATATTTTTTTAGCATATATAATTTAAAATTTATACATAATTGAATATTTTTTTCACGTGAAAATTAATAATGGCTAACGTATTAAATAAAGAAAGTAACGATTACAAAAATAGACAATTACAAAATCGGATTTATTGAGAGAAAATAATTATACAACGGCAAAATTATGAGTACAAAAATATAAATTTAATTCATAAATGAATTGTTATTCTTCATCTGTGGACGCTCCTTCATCAGAGCTATCAGAATCTTCTTCAGATTCATCTGTGTCAGCTTCATCATCCTCTGCATCATCTATATATTGAAAAGAAATATATATTGATTTTTTTAATTAATCATAGTAATTCGAATACAGCAGTTATTAAAAAAAGACTATTTATACGCACCTGCAATAACATTTCCAATATCATTTTGTTTATTATTGTCATGGACAAGAGCGTCGAATACTGATTGTGGTATACAATCTCCGTCAAACCAGTGAAAATCTAGCGTATCCTCATTAAGTGCCCATCCGTTTCTATCCGGTGTCAAAGAGCTGGGGAATCGTAAATATGCATTTCTCCAAATACTCGTTATATATTGCGTTCGTAAAAGATGTTGTTGTAATTCAGCTTTGCACGGTGGTAAAGCAGAGGGATCACAATTTTTTAATGCTTTCTTAAAAGGTTCATCTTCAGTGTCGGCTTTGTAAGTTGTACAAAATTTTTGAAATCGTGCTGCATTGATATTTGATAAATTTTTATATCCATAAATTTCGCAAACAAATGCTTCCAAAATTGGCAAAATTTCATCTCGCGATCCGGTAATATGTGCAACTCCTAGATCTGTTAATGCTTTTTGATAAGATTTATTTTTTATCAATATTTTATATGGTCTTATCTTGCCTTTTTGAAAAAATGATGGATTGTAATCGCATCTTGTTAATGCGTGAAAACCAGGTAAACTCGTGCATAAAGATGGCCCTAATTCCATGTGTAATTTTGTTACATTAATGTACCTTTTAGAGTTCCCAGTGCCATACTCCATAAAAATGTTGAGCTCATCGCTTTGAAGATGATCCATATTTCCAAGCATGATTATCAATACGTCTGTATCTGAAGTTTTAAGAAGAACGTTCGTCTTTGCACGTATATCGAGTTTACACACATGGTGAATTATCTTTGTATCATCTTCTTCGTGATTATTACAAGTCATATCCTCATCAATAGTCATTTCAACAGAATTATTTTTTACAATATATGAATAACACGAATCATAGTTTAACTTTATTAAGGTGTTACCAGTAAATGTTGCCATATCATCTGTAGCCCAATATTCAATTAAAAACTGGACAAAACTTTCCTTAAATTTAATATTTTTTAATTCTTTCATAAAATCTGTCGGCCTAGTTTGGCTAGGACCATTAATCTTAAAATCAATCGTTTTTTGTTCATTTCTTCGCGGACGTTCATAATCTTTTATAGATGGGACGAAATATTGATCGAAAACAATATCAACCCGTAGAGCTTTAAATGCTGTCAAGATATTCATTATTTTTTTTGAAATACCGCCAAATGTTGCAGGTATATCGTGCATTGTATGCAACAAAAAAAATCCATCAACGATAACTATATCAAAGGTTTTTGGTGCATCGGTGCATTTGTGCTGTTTTCAAAGCACTTAACTATTGCAGATTTATCGGTTCGATGTAAGCTGCCATCTAAACGGCACATTGACATCGGAAGAGGAGTTACTGGATAACACAAAATTTTTTCCATGTCAATCTTGTAATCCAAAGATAAACCCAGCAGTCTACCGAACAAGTCACGTTGCATTTGAATTTCTTGAACTTTATTACCACTTTTAACAGATTTTTTAACAGTTTCATTGGAAAAATTCATTATTTTCACTCTGGGTATGGATTTTTCGAACCGATCGGGTGACTCACTACATTCCGTTATAAACTGCTCACGTAATTTTTTACCATCCTCTTCAATATTAACTAGATAATCTTGCACTGCTTGTGCAGCTGCTTTTCCGCTTGAAATATTAAAGAGTTGCAGTTTGTCTAAGCCTGCATCGAAAGGGTTCATGAACTTTGAAAAAGCATCTACAAATGATTGGAGGTGTTTAGAGTCTCTTCTAATATTGTAACGTTCCAGATCAGCTGTTACATCTGTATGTTTTCTTAATCCAGTAACCTCGTAGGTATGAGATATTATCGTAGATCTAATCTCATGGCTTTTGCACCAACGCTGACGAGCAGAAATAGAATTTGTAAAATGAATTACACCAGTCAATCTTCTTCCAGCATCTGCGTTGATTGTCTGTTCTAGCGTCAAATCAATTGGCTGCCTAGAAAAAGACTTATCCGTTCTTTGAATGCCAAAATGACCTCTTTCCATATTTACATATAGTTGTGGATGAGTTTCTTCCAGTTTTATTAAATTTTCGTGATATCTAACTAGCCAACGTGCATAATTCGGTTGATTTACTACAAAAAAAGATTATTGATTTTTGGTAAAATATATTTGAACAATGAGAAATCTCCTGTTCGTATACTTCGGCTCAGTATTTGATAATAGCTCACAAGATTTATGTAAATCATATAAAATTTTGGAGTTATGCCGTGAACTCCAGTAAGACTGGCTTCTTTAAATGCACTGTATGCTGATATTATTTCAGAAACTTCGCTTTTATTCAATAAGGCCTCGTAGGATAAATCGTGATTATTAAAGGCAATCAGCTCCGTTTCGAAGTTTTCAGGAATAGTTATTTTTTCAGTTTCTAAGAAAAATTGAAAATGTAAAATTTCCAATCCGAGTGCCATCAGAGGGTGTAATCGTTTGCACCTGTTAAAATGTTTGCCAGAAATAAATGAGTCAACAGACCCACTTGCAATTATTCCACTTTCAACCGCAACATTCGTGAGTCCACAGTCAGATATAAATTTTCCGACAGCTTTAAAGTAAGCCATCATGATGTGGAAGGACCCCAAATGAATAAATACATTGTCAAACAACGGCTTCTCGATTGACTGAATTTGCATCGCTATTTTAGCGATGGCCAAATCATATGTGACGGCTATTTCGGACTGTTTCACTTCTGTAGCAATTTTTTGGGTTTCTTTCAATGTCTCGAGAACAACATTTTTAGCTGTAGGTGACTCCTTGATAGGAGTGAGATAACATATCTTTTGTCTGGAAGAATTAATATCTTCAACAAATTGACTGTTGAATCCAACCCACATAGGAATGTTGGGGATTTTCAATGCATGTGACAACATCCAAAGAACATCTAATTTCTTTACTTTCTGCAATGATGCCACAGAAATTGACCTTCGCTCATCTGAAGACGATAATAATGTTTCAGATAATCTTATTTTTTTCGAAAAGGGTTGTAAGTCAGGAGTGATAGCTTCAAACTTTCGTCGTCTATTTTTTTTTCTTGTTTTGTCATTACTGTTCCCATTTTCACTTTGTTCTTGATTATCATTATTATCTGGTATTTCATCTGGAACAATTTCTTCAGGCATATCGTCAAAAACATCGTCTTCTAAATGCTCAAGTTGATGTACATTTTGGTAAACAATACCTACAGTGTCATGTAATGTATTTTTACCAGATGCGGTATCAACGAAACGATCAAAATTATCATAAGCTACTCCCGTGCAAAGTCCATCGGCTGTGATAATTCCTTCAGGACATGACAAAGAACATCCGATTCTTCTATTACAGTTAATAAATCTTTGTTGATTAAGTAACCTGGTGGTCCAATAATTTTTTTATTATGTACTAATGAAATTTGTATAGTTTCTTGATATTTTTTTTTTAATTTACTCTCAAAGTGAGCCTTGCTGAAAACATTATTATATTCTTCTCCTTTTTCCGCAGCAACATTTGAAATAATTTCCAAATAATTAGTACAGATGAAAGCAAAAGAATACATTTTTTTATTCTTGATCACTCTTTCATCGATAAAGTTGCAAATTTGATTAAAAGCTTCTCTGTGAAATTGTAAATTTTTGTGGTAATTTGTCTCGGGTTTTTCTTCAAAATCTCGTAATTTATTAAAATAATTTTTTCGGCAAATGCGATGATTATATAACGCTCTGGAATTTTGTATTTTTTGGAAAGTTTCTGTTTCTTGGATAAATCTTTTATACTTTTCCAAGGATTTTATTAAACTTTCTGTATCTACTTGAGGAAGAGGTTGTCGTTGTCCTTGTGTGTTTTTTCAAGTTTTTTGTCACAAAAAATACAAATTTTTGGATTAACTTCGGAATTTTCGTCGATATTGTCCACAGGCGTACTTGGGGAATCAGCGATATTGGCTTCATCATTGGCAATTAGATGAGTTTCTGACGTAGATGTACATGATTGAAGTGTAGATGTAGATGGTTGGGGTGCTAATGTTGCTGCTTCGACTGTAGATTTGGATGGTTGGAGCGTTGATGTAGATGGTTCTGCTGGAAATGTAGAGAGTTCAACTGTAGTTGCTGATGTAGATGCTTCAAACGTACTTTGTTGAGGGGAATCATCGGATAATAAATTGTCTGCAATAAAAAAGCGAAAAAAAAGCAATTAACTTTGCAATTAATTTTGCACGTTGCCCACGCTCATGAGCATATATCGCTTGAAAAATAAGTAAATTAATACAATACCTTTTATAGGAGTAGGCACATTAGATCTTATCACAGCATTGTCATAGTATTTTTTCATCAACGCTAAAAAATTTTTATAACAACTTGTATGATAACCATCTGTAAGGTTAGGAATCACTGGCAAAACCACGTTATTATATTTTAGTCCATGATATTTACGGATTTCTAACACTTCATGACTTTTATTGAGAGTTTTTTCTACAAACGCAATCACTTTATCATCACTTTTTTTACAAATGACACAACTTAACTTTTCACTTGACATTTTAAAATTATTTACTTTATAAAACGTGTAACATCAATGTTAAAAATGTACGACTGAGAATAACGACTCCAAAATTCCGATTGAAAACCTCGTGGCTATTATATGTCACGTGACCTCGTCAGAGCCAATAGTAACGCGGCAAGCAAGGACGCAGACAGCTGCCGATATACGCTCTCCCTCACGCTACAGCTTGTCTATAGCGCTACGCACTCACACTTATATATAAGTTGTTGGATCACCTGGCAGGTAGAAAGACCCACAGAAATGACCTGTCTTTTTGAGGATCTTATTTTTTAATAATAAATAATATCCTGTTAAAATTTCAAGTTGCCTCAAATACATTTTTTGTATTTTTTTTCAAAATGTTTTTGCACGCGTCTGGCAATTTTAAAATCCCGACTAAATCATCTGGCTTATATTTTTTTTTATTCTTTTAATATTAAACTACAACATATAAAAATTGCATATTGCCTCAAATACATTTTTCGAAATTACAAAATAATATTTTTAAAAATTTAGGGGTTGAGTTAGCCCCGCTACTCACCAGCCAGGTCTGCAGTTTCGTATTGGGGTATAATAGGAGAGGTATAGGACAAGTTTTCAGCTTGCCTCAAATACCTACCCAAAAATTGTTGCCAGCTCTCCTACTATAAATTATTTTCTTGTGATGTTTTCATGAATCATTATTTCACGAAAGTTCTTTAAATTCATTTATGAGACAGAATATTGATGGACAGATTAATTAATGTTTTTTTTTGAAGTAAGAGATTAATAGAGAATATTTTATTTTAAGTAATATGGAATGAAGGAGATTTTAATCGTTCATTTATATGGGTACAATGTTAAACAAAAATTCGTAAAATAGCATTATGTTTTTGTCAAGGTTAAAATAGTTTTTTTTGAATCATTCTAAATATTTGTATGAAAATAATCTAAATTATTTAGTTACACGACAGGACCTCCTGTTAATAGTACTTCAGTTAAATATTAAAAGATTAATATAACCAACATATAATATAATAAAATACAAAGAAAGCTCTCATATATTATAAAGCATTTTCATTCATAAAATATAATTTTATTTACTGAAAAGGAACATCAAATTCATGTAATAAATTTCTTTACAAAAAAGATACGAGTATAATATCGAAGTTTAATATTATTTGTACCAACAAGTTACGGAGAATATTACATCTTAATATCTTTTATTTCTTAATTAACGTTTAAATTATTATATAATCAAATGAAAATGAAAAAATCCTATTATAAGTGTTAACGTTAATCTCATACATGTATTCCAGTGTAAATGTATACATAGGACTTAATATATTTGAGGAGTATGAAGTTTATATACTCGTATAAGGGATGGTTTACACTAAAGAAACTATCATACAATATATAGTATTGTGATACACGTAACCAATTCATGAATATAAGAAAAGACAAAGGTTTTAAACATACAATTTAAATTAAAAATATAATATTACCGAATGGAAACGAAAATGAAAGGCTCTTCGATTGGAAAAATATGTAAGCTTTCCAAATTGATTGTCCGCTGATATTTGGGTTAATCATAATGCAACCGGAATAATGTTTTTGTCAATTCCATAAATTTTTGCATACATATATTATAAGTAATTTATCCTGCTACTATTATAAAGGCGAAAGTTTGTAAGTATGGATGTATGGATGTTTGTTACTCTTTCACGTAAAAACTACTGAATGGATTTGAATGAAACTTTACCACAATATAGCTTATACATCAGAATAACAGATAGCTTATAGCTTATACATCCGAATAACACATGGGCTATAATTTTTGAGGTTTCTAATGTTAGGTCGTAAAAAATCACATTTTTTGCGCTTACATTGCAAACGCTGACCGAATCCTACAAGATAGATCAAAACAATGTACTACAGTATTGTACAACTTAAAAAGACCTACAAAAGAGTCCGTGATGGGATATGGTTACCTCTTAGGAATAACCCACAATAACCATTTTTTATCCTTTACTTTGTACGAGAAATAATGGCTTATTTACGAAGCGATTTTAAGCAATACAGTATTAATCCTTATCCAATTAAGTACCTTAAATACATTGTGCATTTAATAAAGATCAATATGGCTTTTTACAGCATGTAAATTAAATAAATATTTTCGAAGATATCACAGATTTAAAATGCAGAGTCATAGCAATTTCGGCGATAAATACCGTTTCGGTGATAAATACCGGCAGCGGTGCCAGGCGAACGGGGCGTGGGGGGAGCAGGGTAGGTGCGGTGGGGAAGAAGTGGCTCATCGTTGACGGTTGTGTCCGTTTTGCGAATTTTCAAGGCACTAGCGATGGGGATTAATGGCCTCTAAAACGGAATAGAGTTCACCCGGTTAGCTATACATATATTACTAATGACGAAACTAACGCGGACGAAGTCGCGGGCAAAAACTAGTATTCAATAAATTAATGAGGGATAATGAAATGGGACTACAATTGTTACGCATTTTTTTAAGTTAAATCTTTTTTCCGTTTTCCCATTCATTCTCTTCTCTTAAAACCAAATAATATGTAAGTTAAATACATTTAGTTATATCTAAACATGCAATGTATGGGAGAAGCTAAAATAACACCGTTTCACATTCATTATAACTATTTTTTACTTCCTTTGCAAAACTTACAATTGTGGAATTAAACGCTTTTTTATTATTTGTATTACTCGCCAGATACAAAGGGGAGCTGTTCTAGTCTAGACTGAATACTGAACATGTTGTTACTACATATGTTCATATAAGATCACATTTATTATGCACTGTTAGTTGAAATTGCTAACGGTTAAATACTCGCAAATTTTTATAAATTTCATTATTCTTCTTGTTCTGGAATCTTGTTCACACTCACGTTATAAAAACACATCCGAACACACTCCAAGAATTCTGTAGTAATAATAAAATGTAAAAAGAAAAATGATGATAGTTTTTGGTAATTATACACGGATATTTAATACCCATGATTGTTTTATTTGCATAACCAAAATGTGAGACACTATCATCCCGTCTATCCGTGATCACGGTTACTGTAAAGGAACCGAAACGTCGGCATTAAATAGATAGAAAATAATAAAACACTCACTGAATTCGAAAACCTTACTTTCATTTAGTTTTGGTAAGTTTGTGTAATCATCGAAATAATATTTATCACTTTCAATAATACTTGTGAATATTAAGATTATACAAATAAAATGTTAATCACGATATTGTTCAGTCGAAGGCAATTGAAGAAAAATACTCACTTTCAAGATTCTCGAGTGGATAAGATGACAATCACTCGGAGCCATCTCTCAAGGACCTCTCTTATTGGAAGGCATTTTTATACAGCAGTGAGGATTCCAACAATTGTCAATTAAGTAAATGTGATTGAAAAAAAATTAAGCTTTCTTAATTAACTTAAAGTAAAATATCTTTAGAGAAATATAAGAAAAAAAAGAATATTATGACAGTCATGATGTTGAGAGTTAGTATTGTAAAATAGTTACATTCAAAATACTTAATATATGTACAAAAAGATAAAAATAACCAATTCTATAGTTACTGTATATTAAAGTTAATATATTGTAATATAATTTTTCTACTTCATATATAGCTATCGTAACAAAAAGGAATTCAGTCCCATTAAAAGCAAAACTCTGGATCTAATCTCTTTACAAATTCCCAGCTGACAGCGAGGCTCGTCACAATATACCAATTAATATTTTTGATTAAGATTGTTCGTGATTGCTTTTTATGGTTCAGAAGGTCTTAATTTTTTTCGGCTCCAAATTGATTTGTGGAAGTGGAATTAGAATTATTTGTCCTTGATATCAGTAAACGTGTTAATAAAATATACTATATTAATTTACTTTTTTTATAACTATATATTTCCCGTCAATTTATTATTTATTTACAAGTTCTTTTTGTCTTTTCTGACAACATTGGTCTTTAAGATAGGTAGTGTTTATTTAACTATATAAAAAACTTATTTCAAACAATAAATAATATTTTTAATTTTGGATCATTATATATAGCATGGTTGGATATGTAAAGCTTTAAATATAAAGTAGTAAAAGAGAAAACAAAAAAAAATCTGGTTTCCATTGATTGGAATTTTATATGTATATATCTTTAATATTGAGAACTAAATTTTCGCGAGTATTCATTTAAATGAAACTAATATTTTTGGATTTACTACGCGATTTTTATTTTTGATTATAAACTACGTACTCCCGACGTTTCAGTTACTTTACAGCAACAGTGATCACAAACGTGAACCGTAATCAAAAATAAAAATCGCGGAGCAATTCCGAAAATATTAGTATCATTTATCTTAAACATTCTTGTTCTACCTGGCTATTTCCCAGCTTTAGCCAGAGTCTGCCTTACATGTTGTGAATAGTTTTGGCTAATTGATTTTACGACCGGCCGCCTACCTGACATCAACCCTTTTTGGGAATGCATTAATCAGTGACGTCTAAATACTCTTAGGAAGTACATATGACTCGGAAAAATCACATTGGTATTTGCCAAGGCCAGGATCGAATCCGCGCCCTCGTGCATTAGAGGCAGGCCTTTTAACCACTAGGTCACTGACTTTATTTATTTTAAATATTATTTATATAAAAATTTTTATATTTTCTGTTTATTATTGTAACATAATTAAATGAATTCTTTCCGCAAGTCGGAACTGTCGGTATAATTTATCTTTAGTGTTGTAATAAAATATCATAAAAATATTATAATGTAAATAGGATTAAAATTTAAATAT